TCTCCCCTCCTCACAGCACCCTCCTCAGCGGGCAGCCATGTCCCGTCTCCCCTCCTCACAGCACCCTCCTCAGTGCCTTTAACCTTCCCTCTAACCTTTGCTCGGCTCTGCTGCTGCGGTTTGCCCATTAGTTTCTTCAGGTGCTTTACCTAGCTGGGGGCCTGGAGACACAGTCTTTACAACAGAAAGGGACTTTAGAACTCAGGAAACCACCCCATTTTATAGATGAGGAGACTGAGAGATAAAGTGACTTGCCCAAGGTCACACAGGTAGTAAGAGGCAGGGCTGGGCCTCAGGCCCCTGCCACACACCTACGCTGGGAGGGAGGGACCCCAGGGGTTGTCTCCAGGCCTCTGTTATTGCCTAAGCTCACGTAAGCTTTGTTTTTTTTTAGCTTTTGCAGCCTCACCTCCTTGATGACCTGTTGAGCTTCAAGTCAACTACAACCCCTAAATTGTTTTATAGTCTTATATCCTTCTAATTGTAAAAATATAATACGTGCTCCTTGTAAGAAAGAAAAATTTAAAAATGCATACAAATACATAGTATGACTCTTAATAGCACTTCCTGTGAAAGATTTTCCCACCCTATACTTGGTTGCCTTTTTTTTTTTTTTTTTTTAGGTATAAAAACAGGACTGTACTTTTATCCTAGGAGTCCCTGGGTGGTGCAAAGAATTAAGTGCTCAACTACAAACCAAAAGGCTGGCAGTTCGAGCCCACCCAGATGTGCCTTAGAAGAAAGGCCTGGCGATCTGCTTCCAAAAAATCAGCCATCGAAAACCCTGTGGAGCACAGTTCTACTCCAGCACACATAGGGTCCTCATGCATCCTTGATAAGGTCATCTTGCTAAATCCTACCCAGCCTCCCTGTCTCAGAATCTTGTTTTGTTATCAGTTCTCCTTGTTGGCACTCAGCAGGGCTCAAACAAATGCCTGTGGCCTGAGGAATGAAGGAAGCAAGCAGTGTTGATCCAGCCCAGGAGACCCTCTGCCCCCCCACCCCCAATGGCCACACTCCTGCATCAACCTGGAATACTTGCTTCCCTCAGCCCTCCTCTCTGCACTGTTCCCTCGTTCTTCTGGCCCACTTCTTCCACGAAGCCTTGGACCACTCTTTCAGATGCAAAAAGCTCCTTTCTGTGGTCCTAGCATTTGTAGCCTGGCCACGCCCTTTGCCCTCGGTTAAGTATTGACTTGCTTATCTCCCCTCTCTTCGGCTAGGGCCTTACTTCCCAGTCAGCTGAGAGCCTTTCCTCCTTTTCTAGTTTCTCCCCTAGCACTCGTCCTACCCACTCTGGAGAACATTTGGGCCCTCAGAATGTGACTGTCTGGCCAAGCCTGCCAGGAAGAGGCTCTTCTGAGGGCTCCGGAGGGGGCCCGCGGCCCGCTGGAGGTCTTCTGAGGAGTGGGAGAGAGTAGAGGCGGATGGAGCCCAGGGACGCCCGCCGCCCCCACCCGCCCGGGGTTTCTTGGGAGCTGTCACGTCTCCTCTTAAAGTTTACAGAGCTGTTAATCATCTGAGCCGCTAACAATGGGCTCTGCTAATCTTGGGACAGGTAGAAATGGGATTTGGTCGCCCTTCAAATTGGGAGGCTTTTCCAGATAAGAAAAAGCCTCCAGGCCTGGCTATTTAAAGAGACATAAGGAGGGTTAAAGGAGCCTGGGTAGTGGAAGTACTTTGGAATGGGCTGCTAACCTAAGAACCCACTCAGCAGCCCAGTGGAAGAAAGGTCTGGCGCCCTGTGGAGGCGTTCTACTCTGTAACACATGGGGTCGCCGTGAGTCATGGGCCGACGTGACGGCAGCTAACAACAAGGAGGGTTGAGGGCCTTTCCACTCCTCTGAGCTTCTCCCAGGGAGCCTTAGAGGTCAGGTCCCTGTTTCCCTTCTCCTCACAGCACCAGGACACCAACCCTTCTCAAGCCTCCCAGAACATAGACCAGGTGGTCCTCCTCTTCCTCCCTCTAGTTGTGGTCCATCTGGCCAGTGTGACTGATGGCGGAACACTGAACTGGGACTCAGGGTCCAGGGGTCAGGTCTTGGTCTCCTTCGGAGCGATCCTGGGTAAGCAATGGGGCGGACCCGGCAGTCTCACAATTTCCTTCTAGTTTGAAGAGCCGTGCAGGCCCCCTTGAGCTTCCGGGTGGCCGTCCCTGCACCACTGCCTGTTCGCTGCAGGGCTCTGGGCACCTCCTAGCTCCTCTGCCGGATGGGATCATAGCCCCTACCTCACAGGGCAGGGCAGTGAGGAGCAGTGAGTGGGCCTGACTCAGAAGTCACCGGGACATGAACTTTGTGCCTGTTATTTGGAACAGACTGCCATCCCGCTGTGGTCCAACCCCAGCAGAGTGCTGGGAAGAGTGGCTGCTGAGACTGGAACCCCCACAGGCCACCAAGAGATCCGAGGCACCAGGGTACAGTGGGGGCCATCAGTGGGTCGGTGGGGGAGACTTAGGCAGCTGAAGAGCCACACTGCCCAAGCTGAGGGCGCTGGACCCAGGGCCACAGCCCTTGTCTGGACTTGAGGCCCACTGGTAACTGTGAAGGGTTACGGCTTTGTCTAGAATAGATCACTTGTTTCAATTAATCTCTCTGTGAGGCGAAAAAAGAGGCCTCTATGACAAGCAGAAAAAGAGAGTTCTCTGATTTTAATAGTTGGGGGGAAAGTTATAAAACAGACAACACAGAGCCCATGGCTCCCTCAGATTGGCAATGAACCAGGGACACAGAAATGTAAACAAAAACCGAGCTTCCAGAGAATGTTCTTTTATACATATAACTTTCAGAATACAGCAGTGCCCCAGACACAAAAAAATACTCTAACATAAAACAAGGGTTCAGGAACCGTCTATACACATTCCAGAAGGAGACAAACACGGACACGTGGGAAGTCGGGAGAAGGCACCTTCCTCCTGGGTCACACAGGGGCTAAGCTGCTCTTTCGGGGCAGGGGAAAGGGGATACCAAGGCTGGGTCTATGCAGGGTTTGGTTTCAAGGCGCTGCCCATGTGTTATGCTCCGTGGTCCTCTGTGGAGCGCACCTCCCTCGCTCTCCGCAGGCTGGCTCCCACCCCTACCACCTCTCCTTTGGACCCACATGACACAGGGACAGGTCCTGCACACAGGCCCCACCCCCTGGACCAGCGATATTTGGGACAAGCTGCAAAGTGTGATGATCTTTTCTTCTCTGCCCCTCAGATAGGGCGGCCAGCCCAGGGACAGCTCTCTGCTCAGGCAGTCAAAACCCCAGAAAACAGGCTGACATGAAGTCTGTTACCCACCTAATGCATTCCTTCCTCTACATGGTCCTGGTGTGTTTGGTCGTTATTCTGTCCCAATTTTTTGCTGCTGTCCTAGGTTTCTGACTCCACCAAGAAGCAAGTGGGCCCTCTCACTTCTTGGTCCTCCTCACGCGGTAGACTCCAGCTGTCAGACGCATCATCCCATCTGTCACCCCCCACCACCTCTGGGAATGGTGAGTTACCCCACAGACGGAGACAAGGAGGGGCCGAGTGACCTGGGGCTGCCTTGAAAGGATGCAGGAGGGAAGAGCAAAAGTGGGCTGCGCTGCCGGGGCAGAGAGGCAGGAGGGCAGAGAGGGCGCCTGTCCTCCAGGAAGGAGCAGGGGGCAGAAATACGGCGGGTGAAATCTATCAGGAGGTACGAAGACTGGGTGGTGGGCCAGGCAGCCACCCCCAGAGCCAAGGCACAGAGGGTCTGAAATGTCCGGGATAAATAGAGCCACGTGAGGACAGAGAAGAGCCAGCTCCATCCCACTCATGAAAACAGTCGCCATTGGCACCAAAAATATATATTACTATCTGTACATTTGTCATCTTTAAAAAAAGGAAAGAAAATCTCCTTGGCACCTTGTGGTTGATTTCTTAAAAGTGAGGTGATATGTGGAAAGGCCTCCTGTGTACACACGCGCGCGCACGCACACACACACACACACACACACACCTGCAGCTGTGCAGACACGTGCGCATCTCCCTGTCGGGAGGGCAGAGCCTCCCTGCAGCCCTGAGCGTGAGAAACACTGACAGGGGCTGTCACCAGCTCCCCCACCACGGCTGTTTGTGGAGGGTGCTCCTGGTGAGCACTCTCCACTCTGTGGCCCAAGGGGGACCAGCAGCCAGGCCCTGGTCTCCAGAGGCAAAAGCAGCAGGACCACCCTCACGACCTCCTAGGGAGGAAACCCTGCCAACCCAGCAAACAATGCCATCTCAGTAGGCTTGCTGCTGCTGGCTGAAGGCAGCCCTGGCCTCCTGCCGCCCCCTCTGCCCTAAGACAAAACTAGAAAAGTAAGCGGAGGTCAGCTCAGAGGGCCGACGTGAGTACGTGTGCCTGAGGGCAGGTTGGGGCACGGGGATCCGGTCCTGATCGCCATTGTCCCGGCAAGAGGCCGCAGGAGGGTGGACGGGCCAGGCAGCAGGAAGGCAGGCCGGGCCTCTCGGCGCCTCTCACAGGTGGTGTTCGCTCTGCAGCAGGGAGGTGACGGTGTTCTGCAGGGCCACGGCCACCTTCTTAGAGGTCTTGCGCAGCAGCGGGCTGTCAGGGTGGTGCTCCTTCAGGTGCAGGATGTGGCCCTCCTGGCTCTCGGATGTGCAGCCACACTCCTCACACACGTACAGCTTGGCCCGGCGCTCCTTGTAGGCGTACTTCTGCTGCACACCGTGGATCTTCTTGAGGTGAGACTCCAGAGAGCAGCGTTGCGTGAAGGCCTTGTCACACAGGCTGCACTTGTACGGGCGCACGCCTGCGGGGAGCGGGGTGGCCGGGTGTCAGGGAGGGGGCTGCAGCAACACTCCCTCAAATCTCTCCCCCTCAGAGCCTGTCGGCAGCTTCCTGGACCCAGAGGACAGGACCCCTGACTCTAAGGGGGAGAGATGGACGGAGGGCCCGTCCACCAAGTTTCCCAGGGGATTCTCTAACTGATGAACTGAGGACACTTTGCCCTGAGCTCCAGGAGCCCCTCCCAGGCCAGCTGTTCCCCAGGAAAGCTGGGGTGGCCAGAATCTCGCCCTCCTGGCCTCAGCTGTGTGGACCCCTCTTACCAGTGTGGGTGCGGACGTGTCTCTTGAGATCAAAGGTGTCATTGAAGCCCTTCCCACAGTACGTGCAGAGGTGCCTCTTGACGTCATTGTGACACTTCATGTGCCGATTCAGCATGCGCTGGTAGGTGAAGGCCTTCTGGCAGATATGGCAGGTGAAGAGGTCTCCACTGGGACTATCCCCCAGGGTCACCTGTGGGCGAGGAGGGTGTTTGTGACAGATACCCGGAAGTTCGGGCTGCAAGTCAGCAGCCACACCAGCTCCCAGCCCCATGAGGGAAATAGGGCTCCCCCGCCAGAGGCCACAGCTCTATGGTGTTTGCTAACATGGATCGGTCAGGGCAGGAAGGAACCTTTGGGCCACAAGAATGCAGCCTCTTATCAGGGTCCCCGGCCCCTTCCCAGGCTGCCACATAGCCTCAACTTCACCACCTCTGAAGACGGGAACTTAGCCACCTGCCAGCCTGCTGCGGCTCAGGCAGCTCCAGCAGTTAGCAAGTTTGCCCTTAAACTGAGCCCAAATCCGCCTCTCGGAGTTCTGCTCATTCTTTCTCCTCTGAGATGCAGTCCCAGGCTGAGGCCATCACTGTCACTGGAGGCCTCTCGTGCAGCCCAGCTCCCTGCTTCCACTCGAGCCAGACTGACGTAGCCAGTTTGAGTCCCTCTGCCACCCAGACGGCCCTCTTGCTGATAGGGCCTTTTTCATTTTTTTCTAATTATGGAAGATTTCAAATATATGCAGAAGTAGAGAAACAATGCCAAGAGCCCTGAGCCCTGTCACCCAGCCAGGCCCCCTTCTCCTCCACCTCCCTGCCTCCCTCCTCACCCGGGATTGCTGTGAAGCACATCCTGGGCACCTGTCCACCTCTGAACGCCTTGCTTAGAGCGGCTGCGGCACCTCTCCAGGGGCACTGGCTGGCATGGGTGATGCGGGTCTCCATCTCCCCGTGAACGTTCTGGAGGGTGCTTGTGCTTGTACGCAGCCCTGTCGCTGGCAGCTCCTGCCGAGCTCCCCAGGCACTCGGTGCCCCCATCATTGCCACCCCTTCCTCTCCCCCTACTCCTGGAGCTAGCCTTTCAGCACCTGGGGAATTCCCTTGTTGCAAGCCTGTCCAGACCTCTTGGTCAGGACTCAGTCCACTGGCACAGCTGCTGTCCCGTCGCCTCTGCTTTCTCGGGCTGGGGCTTGTCCGTGGGGGACAAGGGATCTGTGACTCGGGAGAGCCCAATGGGGGCTTCCCGGCCAGCCACACCTCTCGGCTGTTCCCTCCAGTTACAACGCCCACGTGGCCTTCACAGGCGAGAGGAAGGAACAGCGTTCCACTGCCAGGTTTCCCATCTTCTGGCATACAGATAGCGCTAGGGGAGCCCTTCCACTGATGGCTGCTGGCAGATGCTTCCAGGCCTGGAGCTTCCAGGAAGGCAGGCACGGCCAGGGACAGCCCTGCTGTTGGCACTCTCCTCAGAAACAGAGGTGCACCTGTCCAGGCCCAGCTGAGCTGTAGTGAAGGCTGGGAAGGCAGACCTGGGCGAGGGCTGATCGCAGGCACAGGCTGTGGGGAACGTTAACGACTGTGTCTGACTCCAGACCTCATTCTCGACGTGGCACAGACGGGAGCCGTCCTGGGCAGGGCTTCCATTTCACCCTTCTCCTAGGACTTCTGTGTAAAGAGGTGGCCATCTCCGGGCGCTTCCCTGGCACCTCTTCTGGCCAGAAACGAAATAAAACCCCTCCCCACCAGACAGGGATTCTAGGGTTAATTTCTTGCAAGCCCTGTTGCTTCTCCCCAGGGCCCGGGTTGCTCACATAGGCCCCCTCTTCCCGCCCACACCAGAAGGGGTCCTCAGCCCAGGTCCAGGCCCATCTCTCCTGAGGACTCGTTTATGCCATGACTCATTGGTGGGACACAGGTCTGACGGATGGCCCTGTCCTCAGGGGAGACGGAGGGCCATTACCTTCATCTTGGTGCGTAGGAAACCATGGTCTCTGCCCTGGGCATCTGCTAGGCGGCCCATGTCTTCTGAGGGCAGCTGGGCCACCACACAGGGCGCAGGGGCCACACTGTAGCTGGGGTCCCGAAGGCTCATGTCCAAAGCCAGGGGGCAAGAGGGGGGTTCAGCCACTGATGGCTCCGGCTCCTGGTAGGGCTGCAGTGGGCAGAAGCCCAGGCTGACTGGGGAGAGAAGAGCAGCCAGGTGAGGGGCTTGGTGGGGAGAAGAGGGTCCATGGGGACTTGGGAAGTGAGCTGGCCAGGAACCTGGAGGCTCTATCCCTCCCCTTCCAGGCAGGCGGCAGAGCAGGGGTGCCCCCAACCCACCATACTACGCCTCCCTCCTGCCCCATTAAGGTAATTACAGGTGACGCCAGCCAAGTGCCACAGCCCACAGGCCTGCCCGCTGAGTAATTTGTGTCTTAGCGGAACTGGAAGGACCGAACCTGCCCTGCCAATTATCCTCCTGAGCCGTCTGCTGCCCCACCTGGGCCAGTCCCTCTGGATTCCAGGTTCACACTCAGCGGGGGCAGAGGGCAGCCCAGGAGGTGCTGGGCCCTAGGACAGCGCTTTGAGACTCAGCCTGGCCCAGGAGGGTCCCCGTGGTCCTCTCCTCCAGACAGACTTAGCTGCTGGCCTTGGGGGCGGGGCTCAGGTGGTCCTTGCCCTTTCCTTCCCCAGGCTTGCACTCCCTGCCCTGCAGCCCCACCAGGGCTCCTGGCTCCCACTCCAGCTCTGCAGGCAGGCAGGCCGGGTAGGGTGGGACAGGGAGGAGGTCAGGGAGCAGCAGGTGGATGCGGCAGCGTAACAGTCTCCTGGGTGGCCTGCCCAGCAGTTACACAACCCGCCCCCACAGCAGGGACCGCTCACTGGGCAAAGGAGGCTGGGCACCCTCCGACAGCGGCGGCACCCATACCCGGCAGCCCTTTGAGGCGGCTGCTCCCGCTCCCGTGCAGACACCTCCCACTGAACGGGGCTGAGAGACGCAGCCCCAGTCCGGACTAGAGAGAAACAGGAAGGCGAGTTCTCTCTAGTGACACAAGAGACAAGTCACAACGCTCTCCGGGCTGGTGCAAACCTTCCTCCCTGAAGCCTCAGCTCTGTACATGAAGCCTGTAAGCAAGGGACACTTTCCAAGCTGCAGAAGAAAAACTCAAGACGGGCCTAGGAAAGAAAGGCTGGGAAGCTAGGGATGCAGGAGGTGAATTTAGGATTCCAGAAGCAGGCCCCCTGCACCCTGCCCCTCCCCAGCTGGTGAGACAGAGGGAGGGGCCAAGGACCCAGGACCGGGAGACAGTCGGCCAGGCTGGAGGCCACTGGGACAAGTGGGGGAAGGCAAGAGGCAGGTAATCACGGAGGAAGGATAAACGGGAGAGCACCAAAGTTTCGGGAGAGGCCCCAGCTCTCGCCCTCTCAAAACACAACAAAGGTCTGACAGGAGAAGAATGCAGCTGCCCGCCACCCAGAACCCGTTTTGCTGGCCCTGGCGTCTGTCTGTCCAGGGGACTTTAATAAACCACCTCATTCTGGGCGTTGATTCACCAGCGCCTGGCCCCGGCCTGGCCTCGGACGCCACAGGAGTCAGGGTGCGTGTTATGAGAGCTGTCTGTCTGCGTGCGACTGGGGAGGGGGGCCTGGTGCCGGCAACTTCTGATGTCACTGTACCAGCTACTGGAGATGCTGGCTGAGAACTCAAAGCTGAATGACAGTGTCCGCTTCTCTGTCTAGGGAGAGACATACGGACCCTCGGCCTCTCTGTCTCTCAGCGTTGGGCCCCGCTGTCCCACTGCACGCGTGGAGCAGCAGAGGGGGCAGGTGACAGCAGGCGAGGGTTGTTGTGTGCCGTTCACGACTCACAGCGACCCTGTAGGACAGAGTAGAACCGCCCCACAGGGTTTCCAAGGCCGTCATCTTTACGGAAGCAGACTGCTACTTCTTTATTCTGTGAAGTGGCTAGTGGGTTCGAACTGCCAACCTTTCAGTTAGCAGCCGAGGGCTTAACCACTGTGCCGCCAGGGCTCCTTAGGTGAGCGTTAGCTGGTTCAAAATGCGTTGTCACTTTTGGCTCCCTTGCTCCAGTGGAGGGGAGGCTTATGTTGGGGTGGTAAGGATCCAAGCCAGCTTGGGAGCATGCCTGTTTCCCAAGCCTACCTCTCCCATCCACGCAGTCCTGGTGGCGGCACCAAGGAACTGGGGACAAGTGAGCCGCCTCTACCCTGGGCGAGGGGCAAATGAGGCTGGACAGCAGCCAGGGTGGGGATGTTTGCCTCCTGCCACCCCTGCCAAACCTGTCTTCCAGCCGCCCCCGTAAGTGGGTCCCGCTGCCACCGCACGCACAGGGAGTGCTCACGGCGTGCCGCTCCTGTCACCAGGTGTCACTGAGTGGCAGACAGCAGGAAGTAGAACTGGTTGGGCCCCTGCCTGTATTGCTCCATCTCCTAATTAGATGTTTCTGGCAAGGATGCGGCCGCTGGGGCTACTCATCACCAGCCCACAGCTATCGAGTGTGGCAAGGCCAAACCAGCGGGCCTCCTCCCTGCTCCCCCAGGGGGCTTGTGCGCCCCCTCCTGTTGCCAACCTGCCTCTACCTGGATGATGTGGAGGGCATGGCCAGAGCAGAAAAACAGATCCCACGGGCTGTGTCCACGGCAGCCCCCGTCGATGGCTCCCCCTGCCATCCCCTCAGCAAGTCCCCTCTTCCTTGGAGTGAAAGCTCCTGGCCTAAACTGTGGATAGAGTGCCAGGTCCTGCCCCACCCAAGGTCGTGGGACAGGGTTGGGCAGGAGGCCAGGGCCCAGCTCCTCAGCCCCCTGCCCACCACACAGGGGTGGGGGGTTAACTCGGTTCTGAATGTGAGGTGGGAACGGTTTTAGGCAGACTTTATCAGGAAGGGCAGGGTCCCCTGGGCCCCTTTCCCCCCATCCCACAGGTCAGCTAGCAGTCGCCTGCAGGGAGGCCAGCTCTGGCCGATGGGCAGAGGCGGGCAACCCTGGAAACACAATGGGCCTGTCTCTCAGCCTTCTGTTTCCATTCTCCGAACCGCCAAATGCTCTCCTCTGGGGCACTATCTTTTCCCCTTTCCCAGCAGCTTTTCATTCCGTGCCCATATGAAGGTGAAACCAGGTGCCTCGCCCTCACCCAGCGTGGACAGCCCTGAACAGCGGGAACTGGGCTTCCTTCGACTCCTTACCCCCAGCTGGACACACCTGGGAGCTCCAAGCGGACTCCACGCACGATCGATGTAAATGATCAACATTCGAGGGGGGACCTTGACTTCAACATGTCTCAGCTTTGCTCCTGTCCTCACCTGCTCTTTCTGGAACAGACAGCCTGGCAGGCTTCCGCTTTGGGACACCAAGGAACAACCAGCTTGGCAGCTCGAGTGACAGCCCCCACATGGGACAGGTAGGAGCCCCATCTAGCCCCCTGCCAGGACCCAGGGTGCTCATCTGCTCTTGCCCACCACCTGGCTGTCTGCTCACCCAGCCCAGCTCCCTGGAGAGCAAAGCCAGGTCTCCTTCCTGACAAGGCCTCTTCCAGGAGTGATGAGAATCTGAGGCTGAATCTCTCCTTGCCCTCCCCACACGCTTGCACTGGGACTCGGGTCAATGCTGACTTTCTGAGCCTCAGCCTGGAAAGAGAGTTGCCCACACTCCCATACTACCTCGCGGCTGAGCAAGCTAAGCCTTGTTACTTGAAAGCTCAGCCTGCTCCCCTCCTCAGAGCTTGTACCCAGGCTGATGAACTATAACTCCGGGGCTTGGGAGTGGGGTGCTAGGGGCCTGGGCAAGGCCCCTCAGGACTCACCTCTTGGGAGCCCTTCATTCCTGCTTCCAGGGGCTTGGAGAAGCAGATTCCATCCCTGTTACTCCAGCAGGCCCTTCCCCATCAACCCAAGAGGTGGAATTTACCTTCTGGGTACAGGTGCCTGGGTTCATCCTCAAGAAATCAGCACTGCTCCCTGTCACTCCACAGTTAATATTGACCCAGCAAAGGAGAAAAGCGCATGGAGGGGAAGGGCCCGGGCGCAGGGCTCTAGCCCCTCAAGGACCCCCTCCCCCTTAGTTCTCCCAGGCCAGGGGAGCTGTCGGCCACCTCTTGCCTGCCTTCCAGCCTCCTATGCCCACTTCCAGGCTTCTCCCTCAGCTTTAGGAGGACAGAGAGGCTAAGAAGGAAGATTTTGCTCTGGGAGAGAACCTCTAGAATTTGGCTCCTGCCTCAGGAAAGGCTGGCGCAATTGTTAAGCTGGGCCCCGGAGTCAGAGCTGCCAGGCTGGGGCCTAGTGTTCCAGTCAGTAAACCTTCTCCTTCCAGGCCTCTCTTGATGCTCTGAGGGACCCACAGGGTGCTGGTGGGAAGATTAGAACAAACACATCCATGTTTCCAGTGCCTCTGCCAGTGGGAACAGGTCAGCGCTTACTGGTCACAACGTGCCACGAGTCTGTGACGTGGGGTGAAGGAAACGTGCCGGGCAGCTCCTGGGGTCATGGTTGGCTGGTGATGGAACGGCCCAGGCAGGGGACAGGCCACCACAAAACACGCACCCTACTACTCTCCATCTGAGGCACCCGAGCATAGACGGAGAACATTCCCTTTCTCATTTCCAAAAACTGGGAAAATGCTCCATGGGACACGTCGTTTTCAGAAGTAAAATAAGGTACTTTAATCTCTACCTTCTACTTGACCCCACATGCTCTCCCATCACCACAGAATCATGAGGGAGAAGATGGGGCAGATTCTCACTCGCACCCTCAACTTTAGACCCTAGCACCCAGCCTGACAATCCTGCAGAGAGAGCCCTGTTCACCCAGTGCACCAGCAGCAGGGGGCCTGGACACCCGGAGCCTCCCAGCACCTGATGGGCGGCCCCTGGGCAGAGTCCCCTGCCACTCCCACTACTGGCCATCAGAAGCGTGGTGGGGAAAATCACTACAACGCAAGGAAGCCAATGGTTTGAACAGACGGAATTTCTTTGTCCTTTGTAAAAGTCAACACACGATCTGTTACTGATTGGGATGCGAAATGAACTAAAAATAACAGCATGCTGAGTCTCAATCAAGGCAGCTCACCTTTCACACAGTCCAAGTTCAGGTTATCAGATCCCGAGGAGCAGCTAGGCAGCAAGTCAAGCACAGGCGAGGGAGGAGGTGGGTGAGGGAAGTGGGCTCAGCACTGATACTGCGCAGCCCTCCAGGGCTCACCAACCAAGAAACTACAAAGTCCTGGGCCCACACCCTAGTCCACCTCATGTGACTTCCCCTTCTGCCTTAGTTTCCCCACTGGGGCCATCAGGGACCTCTGGCACATTCCCTCATTTTAAGGAGGTTGTAGAAGAGGGGCCCAGGGCTTGAGATAAGATTAAGCTGTGAACCAGCCTCTCCGCAAGCACACCAGTCATTGGGTCATGTAGGTCAGGCCACAAAGACCTCACCACTACACCCCTGTCTCCAACTACTTACTGGGGGAAACTGAGGCAAGAGCTCCTACAGGGCCCCTCATCACCCTCAAGTCACCACTTTCCTACAAGGCCTGGGGCGGTGCCAGGGAGCCTGGCAGATCAAGGGTCAAAGTCTGTTGGTTAATTACCACCTTCCTCTCCCCCCCCCCATCCCGGGAAGGCGCCGGCGGAGGTTCAGCGCATCCCCCGCCCACCCCCAATCCCGGGGAGGAGGAGTCGTCGGGAAGGAAACGGGGCTTTCTCCAGACCCAAGGTTTGTTGGGGCGGAGGGAGGACAGGAGTATTCTTGGGGCTTCCAGAGGACGATGCCCCTGAAGGAGGAAACAACTCGGGTTACTCATTCATAGTTGACTCGGACGCTCTCGAGGCGTCTCGAAAACAAGCTGCGTCCACCGCTTCCCCCAGGCTGTGTGGGGGGGGGTGGGCTCCCTAAAACCCTTTCCCCTCAGTTGGGTCCCCGGCGGGGCTGAAGGAAGACCAATCCTAACAGAAGCGAGACTTGACCCCACCTTTGTCTGGAGGGCAGGCGGGGCGCAGCCGGCGCTTTCCCTGCGAACCCCCGGGACCGCTGGCCGGAGCCCCAGGCAAACTCCGGGGGCCTAGCGCCGGCGCGACTCTCAGCAGCCCTACCCGAGTCTCCTAGCCACCAGTACTGTGGGGGAGGGGGCCAGAGCCCTGAAAGCGGCTGGAAGTCCGAAATTTCCAAGTAGCACAAACCTCGGCCGAAACACCAGCTCGCTCCCTGCCCCCAAGTGGCATCGCTCCAGTGCCCTCCGCCCGCCTCATCAAAGTCCCGGGTCTCCGGATTTACGACGCCAGAGTGGAGGGTCGCCTGAGCGGTGACACACCCCGCTGCCTCCCCTGCACCGCAGCTGGGAGGGAGGGGGCCCGCGGGGGCACTCGATTCCCGGCCTGTCCCCGGCCCCCGACCTGTCGCCGACCCTCGGCCTGCCTCCGGCCCCGGGCCCCCGCCTCCTCCCTGGGAACCGCTCGCGTCCCCACCTGGCCCCTTGCCCCTCCCCCGCGGCGCCGCCTTCCGCCCTCCCCTCCCCCGCCGCCCGGGGTCGCCCGCACCGCCGGCTAACGGGGCCCGGGCGCTTCGCCGTTCAATCTGGCGCCTGCGGACGAGTCCGCACAGTGCGCCCGCTGCCTCTCGGCCTCCCGCTCCCCGGGCCGCAGGCGGGAGCTCCGGCCGCGACGGCGCCTACCCGGCACGTAGATCTCGCCGCGCTCCTCGTCGGGCAGCTCGCTCCAGTTCCTCTTGCACGTGGAGACGCACGGCTTCTTCACCAGGAACGCGCGGGGCATCTTCGAACCCTGCTCGCCGGCACCGTCCGCTTCGGTAACTAGAGCCGGAGCCGTCCCACCTCTCGCTGGCTGGCTGTAGGCGGGGGTCAATCCGGAGAGCAGTCGCCAAAGCGTCCCCACGTTCCGCGGAGAGACGGTGCACGGGAGGTCACGCGCCCGCTTCCAACTCTGCGGCGATGTTGCCGTCCTCCCTCTCAGCGAGGTCCCTTGCAGCCAGGTGCACCGGGCGGCGGGGAAGCGGCAGGTAAGCTTCTCTGGCTCCACTGGCGTTCCCCGCGGCCGCTCGGGAAGTCTTGAAGTGCGATCCGGACGGACGGGTTCACGCTTTATTGGCTCGCGGCGGTGTGTGTTGGTGGCTGGGGCGGGCGGGGCGGGGGGGTGGTGAGCTGAACTAATTAGCTTGGAGTGGCCCGGGTGCGACGGCGCATGCGTTGGGAAATAACGGTGACAACCCACCTATTTGTTACCTGTCGAACCGGTTTCCATCCGCTGCCAGTGAGGTGGCCTCGCGGCCTGGGCGGGGCGGGGGCGGACACAGGGCACCCAGCACCCGGCTTCCACCCGCCCTCCCAGCCGGGCGTGCAGGCGTTGGCAAACGGGAGTTTCGGGAGAGCGGAGAGAAAGGGCCAGGAGGGAGTGGGCAACGTTATTTGCACCGGCGCTCGCACGCTCCGCGGTGATGAAATGAAACTCGCCCGACCGGGCCGGTCCGGCCTGGCGCGCCCGGGGCGCCGAGCGGGCGCGAAGCTGCCGGGCGGGACGGGCGGCCGGCCCACACTTGTTGAATTGGGCCTGGGCCCGGGCCCCATCGTCCCCGGAGCCCGAAGGCCTGGCTGAGCCATTCGTGGATCAGCCCAGAGGGATCTGCCGGACGCAGTCTCCTTGAGGAAGGCCGGAATACCAAGCAGTGAACGCCTGCAGGCGCCGAGGGCTGAGCACTGAGCGAGAGTCCGGCTCTGGCCGCGGGAAGTGTGGAGGGCTTCGAGGAGGAAGCGGCAGCTTACTGCGCTGAGTCCACCGAGATCCGAAAGACCCCC